CAATCTAGAAGGAAATTAAAACCAAAAACTGTCTCCCAACTGTGGTTTTCACTTGAGGGATTTGTCTTCCAACTGTGAATTGCCCAGCTAAAGACACAATCAATTGCCCAAACTTGCAATCAACCACACGATGGACTCAACCAGCAACCATCACACAAGTTTCATGACTGTTTGGGTCATTGGTCATGCGGCTCTTCAGGTTTGGTGCCTGATGGATGATTGGTTGGGCACTTTGGTGTTCAAGTTTGTGATTTGATTGTGTGCCACGATCTTCAAGTTTGGACAACTGTTTGTGCTGCGATCTGCAAAATTGGTGATTGGTTTGGAGCCCTCAGCTTTGTGGTTGGCAGAGTGCTGAGGCCTTTATTGGGTGATTGGTCGGGTCCTTTTCAGTGCTCAAGTTTGGACAATTGTTTGCGTGCTGCGACGTGCAAATTTGGTGATTGGTTTGGAGCCATTCTCAGGCTTGGTGGTCGGCTGAGCTGTGGTCTTCGGGTGATTGGTTGGGTCTTTTGGTGACGCCATGTGTGCAGAGGTTGCAGGTCATCTTATGCCGGTGAAGAGAGTGACAGTTGCAGAAGAAGAAACCGATCTGCAAATTTGGAGAGTTTGGCTCTCCAGGTTTGGTGGTTGGCTGACGCTCAAGTTTGGGCAAGTGATTGTGTGCTGTGGTCTTCAAGTTTGGACAATTGTGCTGCGAAAATTTGGTGATTGGTTTGGAGCCGCGGTCTTCAAGTTTGGGAATTGGGTGAGTGCTGCGGTCTTCAAATGGGGTAATTGGTTGGGTCCTTTGGTGTTCAAATTTGGGTAATTGATCGTATGCTACGATCTTCAAATTTGGACAATTGTTTGTGTGCTGCGATCTTCAAGTTTGGTGATGGGTTTGGTGAGAATTCGGTTTCATGATGCTACAACTTTGGGGCTGCATCTTCTGCATTTTGACATTTGTGTTTTTAACGTAAAAATAGGTCAAAAAAACGAGGGTTTTGAATCGTGATCAATTAGTGATCACGAGCCAAAATTTTTCAGCCTTTTGTCCTTTTGTGTCGTATTAAAAATTGACGAAAGCGAAAAAATGCCTCCAACAATGTTCATCAGCGCAAATGCGGCTGTAAAAGCAAGGTTTGAGTGGATGGCTTCTTATCAAAAAGAACTCAAGAACGAAGCGCTCGGTGATGCAAAGTGTTGGGGCGCATCATTTGCATCTTAGAGTTGTGGTGTTCGACGCAGGCTTGTTTTTAGGCGTGTGAGGCTTCAGTGTTTCGTCTTCTTTCTGTGGTCTTCAAGTACAATGATAGGTGCCCTTGCGTTTAAGATCGACTGGTCTTCAAATTTGGCAAATGTTAGCTGCTGTTTTCAGGTTTGATGCTTTGACGAACTTCATTGATAACCCTCATCACCAAGAAATGCTAATGACGCAACCAAGAAATGCTAATGACGAGGTCAGATGTAAAAATCCTGATAAAAATACTGTACACACGTACACTTAGGGTTTTGCGCGCCTTTACATTTTTATTGTTTCCTTATTAAACCTTTGTATTAACCACCCTCATTACACAGGATTGCGAATGGCGATGCCAAATGTAAAGGTGCCTGGGAAAATATGATGCACATCTATACTTAGGGTTTGTGAACCTTTTCAGATATTAGACCGTTGTATTCACTACCCTCACTGCAGACTGCCACATGTAAATGCGCTTGTCAAGATACGATCTACACAAATATATATATATATATGCGCACTTAGGATTTGCATACACATCCTGATTGTTTCCTTATTACATCCTAATTGTTTCCTTAACCCTCATTACGCAGGATTACTTCTGGCGAACCCAAATATAAAGTATCTATTCAAAATTTACGCAAACTTACACCTACACATAAATACACACATACAAACATGCATGCATTCATGCGTACACGCACGCATACATACATTCATGCATACAGACTTTTTTACATTTCACACAAACGCATACCCACAGACATACATACATACACATCACATACATATATATATATACATACATACATACACATACATACATACATATACAGACAGATACATACATAGACAGATACGTGCATAGATACATACATGGCCCCATCCATCCAT